GCCAGAAACCCAGAGCCTCGGGCCATGCTGAGCCCTAATCTGCTATCTGCAGTGAAAGTGCTTGGGGACCTGTGATTTCTGGCTCACTTTGGCCAGAACGGGTTAATTCTGGTAAATGCACAAGCTCTTGCCTAGTCACTCTGGGGCATCCCAGCAGAGCCTGCTGCGTGGGGCCAGCTGCCGTGCTGGCTGCTCCCTCCGTGCAACGCTCTTCCCTCAGTGTCAAGGGTGAGACCCCAGCTGCCTGGTTGTGGAGTTGGGGCTTCAGATGGAAACTGAGCCCCAGAGCTGGGAGGAGGGGGAACGCCCCATCTAGGAACAGCCTCGCCTGGAGGTCCCCAATTCTAACAATGATAAATAACTACTGTGATGTCACCAACAAATGGGTGATGACAAATCGGAACTAAAGGCTTTTTCCTGCTAAAGAGAGACACCCTCACCAAAGCAAGAAGTCACAGGTGGCTGAACTGACACGGGACAGCTGCAGTCCCCCAGGGTTAGAGGATTCTAGGTCCACAGCTCAGACCGGGTCTGTGCAGAACCCATTGGCCCGCACAAAAGAGCCCTGGTGGCACTGGGGCTCTTACTAGCCTGCGCCGTGGCTCTGACACAGCAGGTGGGCAGAAGTGGCACCCAGGGTGAGAAAGCTTAGAATACTCGCAGCTGAGAAGCCGCTCCCACGCCCCACGACATTCCGCCTTCGGATATGTCCACTCTGACCACTTCCTCCTAGGCCTCTGTCTCCCCAGGCTGAGTCCCCAGCCTACTTCCCCCTGGCCATGGCAGCAGCTTCTGTCTGGGCTCCTTGGCCGTCACCTGTCCCCAGCAGCCAGCGTGCTCCGGCCAAACATCAGGCCAGGGCTCTCCTGCTCCAGTCTTGCCATGAGAGCAACCTTCCCTGGCTCACAGCCCCTTCCCATGAGCCCGAACTTGGCCCCCACCCTTGGCCCTTGGGTACCTCCATATGGGCCATTCCTTAACCATACGGAGTCTACTCAGCCATGACCCCTGCATTTTCTTCCCCAGCTCATGTGGTCAGTGCCCTCCCCATCTCCAGTCCTCAAATGCACCCCAGCCTTCCCCAGCCCCCCAGCCCTCCCCAGTCCCCCAGCCCTCTGGGCAGCTCCCTGGCTCTTTTTTCCACACCAGGTGTCCCCTCTGACATACAAAGTGATTTGCCCACATGCTGGGTGTCCTGCAGCATCTGACCTTCTGCGGGAAGTCACCTGTTTCGGTCTGAGTGTCTGGAAGAGTGCCGTGTGCTACAGAAGTCCACGCGTGTGGTCCAGGACAGAGCACTGCCACCTGCAAAGGGTAGACATTTCCCGTTTCTAGAGAGGGAGGTCTGGAGTGAGTCTCTGAGGCCCCTGCAGGGACTGTTCTAAGTAGGTAGCGCCAAAGCCACTCCCTTGCTCGAGAACCTTCTATGGCTCCCCTGGACTCACAGAATAAGGCCAGAGCGTTCTTCCCAGTGCTCAACGCCCTCTGCGAGCCTTCAAGGAACTGCTGAGGCTCGCCAAGCCTCAGCTCTCTCATCCGTAAAATGGGGACCAACAGCACCCATTGTTTAGTGCCCCAGCCCCACCTAAGCCCCAGCTCTCTAGCTTTCCCCACCCCACCCGGGGTGCTCCTCAGACTGTCCTGCCAGACTGGCTGTGCCCTCCAAGCTGCAGCCACAGATAATTCTGCAAACTCCATTCAGGAAACTCCAGCCTCTCCTGTATCTGTCTGTCTTTTCTGAGCCTCAGCTGGAGCGCTGTCTTCGAGAGGACACTTCCTGGAACTCTGGCCATCCGTGGGGCACTCTCTCCGCAGCTCTGCACCATGCCTGGGTCCCTCAGCCATTCTGTGCTAAGTCCAATCTCGGGGCACCACACGGGACCCTGGAGGAGCCAGGGTGTTGCAGGGTCTGTCCTGACTCCAGGAGCTGAGAGTCTCGCAGATTCAGTCAGGCTGACATTCCTCATGGCTGTGTGCAACGTGTCCCGGGAGCTTCACAGATGTGAATTCACCGAATCCTCACCCTGAGTCTCAGGCCTGCCCGGCCTGGTGGACGCTGCCTGTCCCCATTTCACAGATGAGAGAGCTGAGGCCCAGGGAGACGAAGCAGATCCTTGGAGCGGTGGCTTTCGCTCCCCCAGCCGGGCAGCGCTCTGCCCCCTACTCATCCTGCCTGTCACCGAGGCTCTGTCCAGCATCGGGCACTGCCCCAGGCACTCGGGGCACATCCTTGTGGGAAACAGGCAGAAAGCTCTGTCTTCACGCAGTGGACGGCTAAGCCTGCGTTTCCTACCTCTAGAACCACCATGCCATTGATTGGCCAAATTGGGGCACTCTGAGACTGAAAGTGCTGCCAGTCATACTTACGCAGGTGACAGATGCTGGTCAGAGCTGCTGCCCTCCTGATCTCCCAGGCACCTGGGAAGCTCCCAGGGCCAGACTGCTGCTGGCCCTCTCAGTCCCTCTCAGTCCCTCTCCCAACGCTGCAGCCAGCATCGGGCTGTCCCCGCGTGTCTCTGGCTGCTTACAGGTGGCCTGGTTCCATCAAACACGGGGCTTTGTGAGCGCTGCTGTGGCCTCGAAGCCCAGTTGCCACGGTTGAGCCCTCCACTGTCCCAGCTGCTCCGTGGAGAGACAGTTACCCTTCAACACGGACTGACTTACGCGATATGTCAACACGCCACCTTGGAGAATAGAGAAACGCCCGCAACGCCACTCTAATTACTCTTCTCAGATGAGGTAATGATCGCTAACGTGCACTGGATCTCATTAATTAACTCTCTGACTTTAATTAACTTCTTGCCTATTTCACCTGACATAATATATTACCACAAATGTCAACTTTGCACAATGTTTCCCTCTTGCAACAAAATAAGACGCATCACATAAACGTTGCATCTTTGACACCGTACTGGACAGAAGTCTCTGGTGGGAGGTGGACGGGACACTAGTGCCCGTCTGGTATCTAGATACGAGAAAGTCTGGATAGAATGTGGAGTTTTCTAAACATCCACTAAGAATTCATAATCGTAATCAAATTTGTTCCTAATCACACTACCGTGACTTTTTCTGTCCTTCAAACACACTGCTAATAATAAACATAGCACCTGAAAACAGCAGTGTGATTTCCTGGAAGAAGAAAAACAATGGGATTCCATCTCCACTCCACGGCCACCTGAGAACTGCTGGGCACGGGAGGGAAGGCGTGGGCTGGCCCAGGGGCTTCCTCTTCTCTTTAGCTGGTTTGGATGACAGCACCCTGTGGCTAGCGGCTTCTGGAGTCTCCAGCCCCAGCTGCCGACACCAGCCTCAGCACAGTCCAGGAGCTCTGTCCACTCTGGGGTGGAGGGATGCTCATCACCATGGTGGCTGCTGGGGACACCCAGAGGCCCCCAACCACCACCACTACCCCTGCCTGGCCAACACGTCCCTGGGCCCCGTTCTCGCTGCTCTCCTGACCCTGCTCACCCTTGGCTCCCCTGTCACTGCCGGGACTCCTCGTCCCTGTCCATCCCGTGTGGCCCCTCAGCCACACCCCTGATGCCCCAGTAACTTGGGAGTGGGCTGAGGTTGTGTTCCCTGACAGCAAGGCCTGGGGCTTCCGCCTCTGCATATCTCAGGACTTAATGAGGCCTGGGGCACCTTTAGGCCCTGGATAAACACTGTGGGTCGGAGCCGCGCCCAGCAGTGTCAGGCTTGTCGGCAATGTGGATGCTTCAGCTGGGTGGGCTGACAGCTGAGCAAGCCGTGGAGGGTCCCCACAATGAATTTAACCTTTTGGGGGTTGGGGTAGCAAATCGAACAAGTCCCTGTCCCTTGAGGCTGGAGCCCAGGTAATTGGTTTGGTTGAGTAGAAGCACTGGACTTTAATTTCATACCTCAGTGGGCATCAGAGGAGACACGGGGCTGTCACAAAAGCCTTTGTTTAGCTGAGCCCAGCGCTGCTCCCTTAAATGATCTCGGCGGGGGAGCTTCTGAGTGTTCCCACATCGACATGTCTCCTGACCCTTCTCTCCGCACAGCCCACGTGTGTGTGCACAGATCACAAACACATACATGTCACACAGAAGCACACACAGTACCTATGCAGACATGCAGACGCACACACACACGTGCACACAGCACATACACTCTCACACACGCATCCACAAGTGCACACGCCTGGCAGGACCTTCATGCCTTGGAAATGCAAGAGGACAGGGCCCTGTGAGGAGTCCTGCGGGAGGCACAGGGCTGCCAGAGCCAGGACAGCTGACCAGCTGCATACATTTGGCCAAAAAATCCCTTTTCTGTACCTTGGCTTCCTTGTTCTTTATTTGTTTTGTGACCATTTCTTGAGAACTAAAACCTCCTGTGTGGGAGAGCATGTGGGGCCTGGTGAGACCCCCAGTCTACGGGGCTGTGGGGAGTGTCAAGTCCGCAGCTGGTGGGCAAGCCACTGCTCCCTCTGTCCTCTCCATGGGCACGTCAGGGCATGACCATGGCACCCTCTTAGCCCTGGGATGGGACTGCAGGGCTGGCCCTGGAGGATGGCTGGGCCAGAGCCTGGGAGATCAGGAGGAGGGGCCCACATTCCACTGCTGGAGACCTGGGGGGCACTGATGGCAGGCGCAGACCTCAGCGTGCTGCTGGCTGCAGGGGCTCTTGTGGAGGGTGGCAGAGTGTTCCGTGGAAGCTGTGGGGAGTGGCAGAGTGCCCCCTGGAACCTGGGGGCAGAGTTCAAGTCTCAGCGCCCTCTGAGCCGAGGCATAACCTCAGTTCAGAGGAGCCTTGGTTCAGAGGAAAAAGTGTTCTTGGAGCCAAGCAGACGTGCATCTGGCCCTTGGCTGTGTCCTTACCAGGGCTGGGCGGCGTCCAGTCCGCAGCCTTCCACTCCCTCCCTGTGTCTGGACTGCACTTCACACTCTGCCCATGCTTCCTGCCGGAGGAGGCGGAACGCTTTTTCCTGAATCATTGACGCTGGGCTCAGCCACGTGAGTGGCTTTGACCCACGGCTGTCAGGCATGATGGGGGCTGTCCCCTGGCCTGATTGTCTGGCTTGGCCTCCACACTGCTGTCATCCACCGTGAGAAGAGCCAGCCTGGCAGCCGCAGGTCCCAGGACAGAGACAATGGGGCGGACCTGAGTGCACAGGGGCCTGGAGCGAGGGCCGGGCTCCCCTGCAGACCTGGGAGAAAGGAAGCCTGGTCTGTTGTAATCACAGTTTGTAGGTTACCTGTCACAAAGCGTCGTCATAGTGGAAGCCTGAGCAGTACACAGCCTTGTCTGACCCTGAGCAGAGAATGTGACCTTTGTGAGCCTGAGTTTCTGCATTCAGAAAGGGAAGATAACACGGCCCTGCCTGTGATTCCACATAAGCCCGGCTCCCAGCCGCAGCTCGGTGCCCCCGGGTTCTCCTGAGAGGGAGAGTTACCTGCGATTCTGCAGGAGCCTGGTGAGAGCCACCCGCTCCCTCCAGCTGCCAGCCCAGGGTGGAGCTCACAAAGGACCCTTCCATGCACGCCGCCGCTCTATCCCAGCAGGTCCCTGGAGGCAGTCACCACTGCAGACGAGGACACCGAGGCACCGAGGGTGATGGGATCCCCAGGGCCGCATGGCTGGTGGGTGGCAGCAGTGGGTCCCACACACCGGTGTCCCCTGTCCCGAGCCTGTGCGCTGTGTCCCGTTCCAGTTTCCCTCCGACTTTGGGATTCCGTGTTTTTCTCTCGGCTGCAATGGATGAAGATGTGTGTGGGGCCTGACAGGTGGACGCAGCCCCCAGAGTGTGTCCCCAGGTGAGATTCTCAAAGGGCTGGGGGCTAGATTGAGGCGTTGCCCCGGGGCCTCCTGCTGGGCAGCTGAAGGCTGGCTTGGCTGGCAGACACCGTCTTCGGGAAGGGCGGGGACTGTGTCCCAGCCAGCGAGTGGGCGTTGGCATCCAGTCAGCGGCGACAGGGTTTGCAGAGGCCGGAAACGGGCAGACGGTGTTCTAGGCAGTGCTGCCGTCTCTGTGCCGTGATACCCCCGATCTCCTCCCATGGCTGCCGGCTCTCTCCACCCCCACAGACCAGTTGAGGGACCCTGGGGCAGCTAAGTCAGAGGCCTGCCCGGCTGGTGATAAGCTGAATGGGTGGGGCGTTTCGGACAGCATCCAGCATGCATGAGTGTGTGTCTCCGCCTTGTGCGAGAGCAGCTTCCGCCGGTACCTTCCTTCACTTGCCAGCCCTTTAGTGTCCACATGTGGTGTGCTGGGCGCGGCGCTGGGAACAGACCTGGCCCTGTCCTCTTGGAGATCCGTGTGTGGTGGGAAACAGAAAATCAACAGAAACCCTGGCTGTGGTTGTAGGTGGGGTGAGTTCGCAACCCGGGCAGAGGGGAGACGCGGTGGCAGGAGGAACGGCGAGGTGGGAGATGGCGGCTGCTGTGAGTCACACAAAGCTGGCCACAGGCAAGGGAGGTGGCGCTTCCCACCCAGGCTGTGCTGCCCGAGCTCATGGGTGTGGACAGAGCAGATGCAGGGGCTGTGGTGTCTGGGGTTCGGGCAGTCCCGAGGTTCTCCTGGCCAAGCCTGCCCACGCGGGGGCAGGAGGAGGGTGCAGGCCCCGCAGCCTGCTTGGAGGAGGTGCCTCCTGGCCTCTCAGCACCTGAATGGCCCCAGGTCAGCGGTGCCAGCCTTCTGTGAGTTCCTCCCCAAGCTGGATCTCAGCTGCATGGGGAGTATTGCGGGGTCTCCTCCAAGGCTCTATTTGTCTTTGTACCCAGGAATCCGGGCCCCTGTGGCTTGGAGCAGTGGGCACCAGACATGTCGGGTCTTGCTGGAGGCTGGCTCGTGAGGAGGAGTCTGACTACTGCCCTCTGCACCAAGGCTCTGGAATTTGGCCGTGCGTCAGTTGCTCCCACGCATAGGAGAGGCTACTCTGGGCCAGGGCTGGGCGCTCTGGGCTTCCCCTAAGGAACGACCAGGGCCCTGAAGCCAATGCTCCTTCCTTGGATAATTGGAGACTTTGGCCGCAAGGCCAGGGTGCCCAGCCACCATGTGGGAGGGAGAGCCCTGCCTGGCAGACGCTCCTGGCACAAGGCAGAGGAGAGGGCGCCTGTCCACCGGTCAGCTGCTGGGGGTGTGCAGGGGGAACCGTGCAGCTCCTGAGTGCCTCTGTCCAGACACCAGGCAGGAAATGAGCTCGTCCCGGAGCCCCTGAGAGTCCCGGGGATGGGGGTCCTTACCGGAGGGGATCTTGGGCTGTATCCATGCTCTGCCTCCTTTGGAAGTGATGTTTCATTCCAACACAGCCGCCGGCACCTGTCACACCTCGTCTACAGCAGCTTCGGGTCTCGCTGGGGTCTGGACATTCCCCTAAATTCGTGTGTTGAAACTTCATCACCAATGAGATGCTATTAAGAGGTGAGGTGTTTAGGAGGCCCTGCCCTCAAAGGTGGGCTTAACCCTTGAGAAGGGCTGGGAAGCCTGGCTGCCCCTTCTGCCCTTAGGTCCCTCCTGCCCTGTGAGATGCCCGTTCGCCCCCTCAGGAGGATGAAGTGGCCTGGCACTGTCTTGCATGCAGAGAGGAGCCCTCACCAGACACCCATCCTACTGGCACCTTGATCTTGCCCTCCAGCCTCCGAAACAGAGAGAAACACATTTCTGTTGCTGAAGGGCCTAGTCTTCAGGATTTTGTTACAGCAGCGGAAAGGACTAACACAAGCCTTGAATAAACATGACAAAGATTGGCCTGGAAAACAGAAAGTGATTCCTCCCTAGCCCTCTACAGAAAACACGTGTCCAGCCCTGCGTCTTTGGGACACAGCTGTTGGGGTGAGCAGCTTCAGATGTGGGGAGAAGGACGGCAGGAGCGAAGGCAGTGGAGGAAGGAAGGCGGCCAGCCCTGGCAGGGTGCTGGGGAGCCACTGATGGTGGGAAGGCAAGAGAGGTGTCCTGTGACTTGGGGCTTCTCTCCCATGTGCAGAGGAGCCCCTGGCCCCCACCCGTGCCCCTGGTTCTTGAGTCACCAACCTGGGCTATGTGGTCCCTTGGGTGATCCCAGGCGGAGGGTTCTGGTTGGGCTGGGGTCCCCACTGGTGGCACCCTGACTTGTGCGCTGCCTTGCCCTACCCTTCGTGGGGCCCTGAAGCTTATGAGAGGTGGGGGACCCAGTGCCCAGAGAAGAGATGTTCAGGGTACCTCAGGGGGCGGGTGGCCCTCGTCCATCCTGTGAGCATCCCTGATGTCTCACGAACACTGAAGACTTGGAGACCAGATGGCCACAGATGCAGGCAGGGCAGGGAAGTTGCTCCTAAATCCTGAATAATTGTGTGGAAATAAAGACCTCAGATTGAGAGATGAAGCAAGAATCTTTTGAAACAAAGGAAAAGGCCCCTCCTGTGACTGTCCCAACTGCACCCAGGGGACGGGGTGAGGTGACCCGGGGGACGGTGGGGGGATGGGGTGAGGCGACCCGGGGGATAGGGTGAGGTGAGGCCCTTCCAGCCCCATTTTGGGGGAGGTGGGGATGGAGCAAGCGGCAGCCCCTGTTCTCCTCTGGGTCCTGCTGGGGCTCATTTCAGGACCTTGGGAGAGTCACTTCCCACACCAGGGTCTGGGCTACATGTGCGGGAAGTGACTCCAGGGCCGCCTGCTCCCTTCTCAGAGGGACCTGGGCTGATTTTTCACTCCGGGCCCAGCTTGCATCCCCCGGGCCCCTAGAGGCAGGGAGAGGCCCTGTGGGGATGGCACAGGTGCTCAGAGCATGTGCGGGGACTGGTGGGGCTTCAATTTTCCATCTGTAGAGTGGGGACACTAACCGTACCCACCCCATGGCTGTCGTGGCTGCTAAATGAATCCCTGTCCCGCACAGAAGGTGCAGTGAATCTGAGGCAGAGCTGCTGGGGTGGTCAGAGTGCCCCCGATAGGCCCCTGCTCACTGGACCATATCACGGAAGGCTCCTCAAAGGTGGGGAGGCAGACAGGCCGCCTGCTGTCTGGGGGTCTCACCTACTCGTCGGAAGGAAGGAGGACGTGGAGGGCTGCTCCTGACCCGGCCTGAAAGGCTGCATCTGCTAGGCTGGCCTCAGACCAGCCCTTGTTTGATGAGTTCTCGGGGGAGCGCCAGGGACTTGGTGGCTTTATGCTCCTTTCACAGAGGGGTAAACTGAGGCCCAGGAGGTAAAGCAACCAGCCCAAGACCACAGAGCTCATGAGGGACATGGTGTCCACACTTGTTACACGGCACCCTCATTGGGGAGTTGACTTTGAAGGCCCCTGGAGCCAGCGGGGCCAGCTAGGTGGGCGTGTGGGGAGGGGGGCCCCGCACCCGGCAGGGCCTCAAGGCCTCCTTGTGCTGAATGCTGGGAGGAGCAAGAGAAATAGAAGCCCGGTGGGGCAGGGCTAAGGAAAGGGGCAGCCAAGCCGCGAGGAGCCCACACATGACGCGGCAGCTCCACAGCCAGCCTCGCGCCTCCCACTGGGGCTTTCCCATTTGCTGGGTGAGAAACTGAGGCTCAATTCACCAAGGGCAGCAAGCAGCAGAGGCCGGGCACGCAGTCCAGGTCGGTGTGACAGCCCTGTTCTCTCCTGCCAGGCTCCTCCTCCACCTCCCCTGCGGGCCCGCCATGAGTTCCAGGACAAAGGGGCCGAGCCTCAGACAGAAAGTTCCCCGAAGGTCATAGCCGGGGAGGGACAGGGCAGGGTCCAATCCCACTGCATGTTGGACTTGCAGCCTTGCACCGGTGGCTGCAGATGAGACCCCAGCTCCAACCCACAAGGCTCCAGCGCCATGTGAGAGGTGAGGAAGGTCGTTCCCAAAGCAGCTGCTGAAGAGCCTGGCCTTCTGCGGGGCAGGGGCAGACCAAGGCCTCTATCATCACTGTCAGAAGGAAACAAGGGAAGCCTCCCGGGAGGAGGTGCCTCTGCAGCAGGGGATTGGCACACAGGGGAACCCTGATAGGGAAAGATGGCAGGGAGAAAGCACATCAGACAGAGGACACAGTGTGGACAGTGGCTTGGAAGCAAGAAGGGGTAGCGTGCACTTAGGGGAGAGTGAGGGGTCCAGCTTGACATTAGGAGGGATTAGATAGGAAGACTTAGGCCCAGGCACAGAGAGCTTCAAATGCCAGATGAGCATGTTTGGATTTAATTCAGTGGTGAATGGGAAAAGGGGAGACTGAGTAATCAGGGACCACTTCTCGTTAATCTTTCTAATCCCCAGGACCTAATACAGTGTCCAGAACCTGCTGGAAATTAAAAAAAAAAAAATCATTTAGTGGATGAGTGGGTGGATGGAGGATGGTGATGAAAGTTCAGCATAGAAATTGACAGAAGTGTTGTGGATGGTGGAAGATGAATGGACAAATGACTGGAGAAATAGCCAATGGACAGATTGGGGGGAGGAAAGACAACCAGGTATGGACATGGATGCAGCCAGGGTGAAAAGGTGGAAGTGTAGTCCATGGTGGATGGTGGATGGTAGACAGTGGGTGGATGGTGGATGGTGGATGGTGAATGGTGGGTGGGTGGATGGTAGACAGTGGGTGGATGGTGGATGGTGGATGGTGAATGGTGGATGGTGGATGATGGATGATGACTGGGTGGATGGTGGATGGTGGATGGTGGATGGCGGATGGTGGATGGCGGATGGTGAATGGTGGATGGTGAATGGTAAATGGTGGATGGTGGATGGTGAATGGTGGATGGTGGATGATGGATGATGACTGGGTGGATGGTGGATGGTGGATGGCGGATGGTGAATGGTGGATGGTGGATGATGGATGATGACTGGGTGGATGGTGGATGGTGGATGGTGGATGGCGGATGGTGAATGGTGGATGGTGAATGGTGGATGGTGGATGATGGATGGTGGATGGTGGATGGTAAATGGTGGATGTTGGATGGTGAATGGTGGATGGTGGATGATGGATGAAGACTGGGTGGATGGTGGGTGGTGGATGGTGGATGGCGGATGGTGAATGGTGGATGGTGGATGGTGGATGGTGGATTGTGGATGGCGGATGGTGAATGGTGGATGGTGAATGGTGGATGGTGGATGGTGGATGGTGGATGGGTGGAAGGTGAATAGATGATGGTGGATGGATGGTTAATGATGGGTGGGTGAATAAATGGTGAATGGGTGGGTGGTGGATGGTGGTTGAATGGTGGATGGTGGTTGGTGAGTAGAAGGTGAATAGTGGGTGAATCGTGGGTGGGTGGGTCGTGGATGCTGAATGGATGAGTGGATGGTAGGTGAACAGTAGATGGTGGGCAAAGGGTGGACTGATGGATGGTGAGTGTGTGGGTGGTGGATAGCAGGTGGATGGTGAGTGGAAGAGTGGATGGTGGGTGATGAACAGGGTGGTCTGGAAGGGTGGCAGATGTGGGTGGATGGTGAATGGATGGATGGATGGATGGGTGGGTGGGTGATGGGTTGTGGGTTGTTGGTGGTTGGAGGGTGGATAGTGGATTTTGCGTGGGTGATGGAGGGTGGGGGTGTGTAGTGGATGGGTGGTAGGTGGTGGTTTGATGGTGGATTGAGGTCGGTCGTGGTGGGTGGTCAGTCGGTGGGTGACAGGGGGTGGATTAATATGTGGGTGGATGGTGGGTGTGTGGGTGGATGGTGGATTGACAGTTGGTGGGTGGATGGTGGGTTTTGGGTGGGTGGTTTGTGGGTAGATGGTGGGTAGTGAGTGGTCAGTGGATGGGGGATAATGGTTGTGTGGTAGACGTGGGTGGATAAATTTTGGGTGGAGAGTGGTTGAAGGAAGAGTGGATGGTGGGTGGTGGATGGTGGATGGGTAAATGGTGGATGGTGGATGGGTGAATGGTGGATGGTGGATGGGTGAATGGTGGATGGTGGATGGTGAATGGTAGGTGGTAGATAGTGGATGGGTGGATGGTGGATGGTGGTGGATGGTGGATGGTGGATGGTGGATGGTGGTGGATGGTGGATGGTGGATGGTGAATAGTGGATGGTGGATGGTGGATGGTGAATAGTGGATGGTGGATGGGTGGATGGTGGATGGTGATTGTGGTAGTGAGTTTTGGGTGGATGATGGGTGGTGGATAGAGGGTGAGTGGTGGGTTTGTGCTAGGTGGTTGATGATAGTGGGTGGATGGTGGTGGACGGTAGGTGGTAGGTCACTTGTGAATGGATGGTGGTGAGTGGGTAGTCAGTTTTGAGTGGGTAGAAACTGGTAAGTGGATGGTGGATAGTAGATGGTGGTTGGTGACTGGGTGGTGGGTGATGGTTTCTGGTTCAATAGGGGCTGGTGGGTAGATGGTGGGTGGTGGGTGGTGGGTTGTGGTTGGTGAGTGGGTGGTAGGTGGGGCATGGTTGCTTGTGGGTGACTAGTCAGTGTTGGGTGCATGGCAAGTGGATAACCTTTGGGTGACGGGTGGTTGGTGGATGCGTAAATGAGTAGATGGTGGGTAGTAGATGGTGGGTTGTCAGTGGGTCGTGGGTGAATATTTGGTGGTGGTTAGATGAGTGGATGGTGTGGTGAGTGGATGTTTGGCGTTGGGTAGGTGGGCGGATGAGTGGATGGTGTGGTGAGTGGATGTTTGGCGTTGGGTAGGTGGGCGGATGAGTGGATGGTGTGGTGAGTGGATGTTTGGCGTTGGGTAGGTGGGCGGATGAGTGGATGGTGTGGTGAGTGGATGTTTGGCGTTGGGTAGGTGGGCGGATGAGTGGATGGTGTGGTGAGTGGATGTTTGGCGGTGCGTAGGTGGGCGGATGAGTGGATGGTGTGGTGAGTGGATGTTTGGCGGTGCGTAGGTGGGCGGATGAGTGGATGGTGTGGTGAGTGGATGTTTGGCGGTGCGTAGGTGGGCGGATGAGTGGATGGTGTGGTGAGTGGATGTTTGGCGGTGCGTAGGTGGGCGGATGAGTGGATGGTGTGGTGAGTGGATGTTTGGCGGTGCGTAGGTGGGCGGATGAGTGGATGGTGTGGTGAGTGGATGTTTGGCGGTGCGTAGGTGGGCGGATGAGTGGATGGTGTGGTGAGTGGATGTTTGGCGGTGCGTAGGTGGGCGGATGAGTGGATGGTGTGGTGAGTGGATGTTTGGCGGTGCGTAGGTGGGCGGATGAGTGGATGGTGTGGTGAGTGGATGTTTGGCGGTGCGTAGGTGGGCGGATGAGTGGATGGTGTGGTGAGTGGATGTTTGGCGGTGCGTAGGTGGGCGGATGAGTGGATGGTGTGGTGAGTGGATGTTTGGCGGTGCGTAGGTGGGCGGATGAGTGGATGGTGTGGTGAGTGGATGTTTGGCGGTGCGTAGGTGGGCGGATGAGTGGATGGTGTGGTGAGTGGATGTTTGGCGGTGCGTAGGTGGGCGGATGAGTGGATGGTGTGGTGAGTG